TTTCCGGAGATGGCTTTTCTCGACGGGCCGGAGCCCCCGTTGAGCTCACCGCTGACAGCAGTCGGAGTGGCTGTGGCCAAGGCCTCTGCTGATGATGTTCGGCTCAGCGATTGCCTTGCTGCTGCTTGTGCCATTTCCAGTTGGTCTGACTTGGCTCGAACAATTGCTGATGCTGGTGAATCCATTCCGAGACACTCGCAGCTGTCAAGTATAATGATGTTTACGATGTGCTTGTGAAGAGAACTATGTTTATCAAAATTTTCCTTGCGATTTCGATATTACGGCAAGATCAGTAATTTCTCTTTTGTTGTAAGCCTGTCTGCCTATCTTTGAGTAGAATATGAGAGGGTTTTTTGGCTTTTAAGTTCTGATACTATGCCAATGGATAAATGAGGAAATGGATTGTCATTCTGCAGGTCCGCAAGTTAAACTACTGTTATTTGTATGCTTTTATATATATATATATATATATATGAGAAAAATGAGTATGTTTGGTACCAAGCATAAAAAGTTGTGCTTGGTAGTGAGGTAGCATAATATAGCTGTTTGTTTCACTGTAACTTGCAGTTTTTTTTTCTTTTTGCAATTACTGTCACAAAAATGAATCATTTCTTTATGAAAAGTGGTTTCTTTTCGCAACTATAGCTGCTAAAACAATTACAATCGTAATCACAGACATTTTTTAAAATCAGAATTGCATTGTCAGTTAAAAAAAAAATTCAAAACAAAAACCATCCTATGAATGTAAGAAATTAAATTGTTCAGTTCTAGAGTAGTGAATTCCTGTAAGCGTGAGAATGCCTAACTAAGGATTTCCTCATCATATCGCTCTTTTGTTGTCAAGCATATCTACCTTCTTCCAAAACCCACAAAGCTACAAATTCCTTTTTTTCTTCTTCTTTCTCTTTCTAATTCAAAGGAATTAAAAAAAATTACAAACTCGCGCACCTTGCCACAAGATAATTAAAAAAAAAAATGCTATGCTACATGTAACAAGAACTCGAAGAAAGTATTAGAGATCTCAACAATACCTTAATGCCGAAAATAGAAGGGAGAGGAGGAGGGGATGGGTTTCTTTTTATGAAGAAAAACAAAAAGAAAACGGAAAGACCAAAATAAATGCCACAGGGTTTCCTTTATTCACTCCCATCATTTATAAAGAGGCCGCCACCACCACCACCACCACCCGCACAAAAAGTTTTCAAGTGAACGTCGTGTGAGAAGGGGAAACTTAAAAAGCTTGAACGCCCGATATTGCCCTTCGATGTCCCTCACGAGTATGCATCATGCTCATGCGCTCCAAGGTCACGGCACTGTCCTGAGGTACGCCTAGTGAAAATTAATCTAGATGGGATGCGGTTCGTGGAACAGTTAAAAACTAACAGCTTATTATGCGATAGGAGGGGGACACCTCACTTGTCCCCTCTGTTGGTCTCATATTTTGGGTCATTGTAGCAAGGCTTTTTTTTGTAAATATTGTAATCATCAGATGACACGTGTTTTAAATCCGAATATACAATCTCGTATGACACGACTCAATGTGATAATTTCTTCTTTCTTAATTACGTTCTTTTTCTTTTTTTTTCTTCTTCCATATATAGTTTGATTAACGAAAAAATATTCTATTTTCTTCTATCATAACTATCACAATATATGCCACTAACTCCATAAAAAGATTATTCTTTCATGAATACTAATTAGTAAAGCGATGCGAGAGTTGAAAGCTGGATCATTAGCTGTCCAATTCTTTTACTAGTTTACTTTGGTTCAATACGATATTTAGCGATCGACAATGGAAATGCGTACCGAAGCAGACGATGCTACCTTTAAGAAACGAAGGAGGTTATTTCAGTAAATTTCAATCGTATAGCTACAGGAGCTTGCTTTACTTTGCGCATTGGAACTGTTTGTGCTGGTGGAAAGAGATTTGCTTGCCAAATGTGTGGGCTTCGGTGAGCCCAACAAGTGAGCTTCCCATCTAGAGGGGCCCACACCTGATCTGCCCTCTATTATGGGTTCGCTCTTAAGTCTATCCATGCTAAAATAGATTACAAAAATGATGAGCTCTCTGAAAAGTTTTTTTTTTATTTTACTTTATAAGAATATGAATTCTTCCATCTATGATTCTGAACATTCTACTTGAAGAGAGAGTGTCAAAATATATTTCTGTATTTTGCTGAGTTCTATTTTCTAATAAAGTCATTTTTTTTCTTTTCTTAGTGATTAATTTATAAAACAATGATAGTATATTGTGAAATTTTTCTGTTTCAAATCAGAGCTATAAACAAAAGGACTATTCTGTCTAATAGTTTAAACTTATATTTCTTCAATTATCCTTTTTACTCGTGAATGTGTTGGTGCTTATGGAAGTATATGAAGCTTATATATGTATCAAAATGAAATTATGATACAAAAATCCCTCATTGTATCTGTTAATCGTCATGAAAATGTTATAAATTAAGATATTATCTGATTGCGCGAATTCATTGTAATATTTATAAAATTGGAGTACGCAAATCTGATCCAGATACTCACAACATTGATAAACCTACCAAGTACTGAAAGTATTTGTTTATGTCATAATATAACGTACAAATATGTTTTAATCTATACAGACTTGTATATCGTTCTCGTATATACATTCAGATACATATTCAAGCTAAACAGAAACAAATATCCACCACTCTTCATAAATATGAGTTGTTAAAGTTGTGAGTTAGTTGTTAATACCTGTGAGGCGATTGTTATTCTAATGCGGGTTGAAAGCTCGATTTGGCGCCATTTTTGGGAGACGAGGGAGGTGTTGTTGCTGGTGTGGTACGTTGTCGGTGACGGTGAAGCTTTTGTTGATTAGGATCGCGTCAGACACTAGTACAAAACAAGTCTGTCCAAACGGTTAGAACCGTTTGGACAGAAGCTGATGGGATGAGTCTACCCTAACGATCGTCCAAACGGTTGCAACCGTTTGGGATTTTAATAAATTTACAAAAGTAACGGCTTAAACCGTTCCGACAGAGTTTTGTCCAAACGGCTTAAATCGTGGACGGCTGCGGTGAGTCGGTTGTCGTCAAAGGGATGAACGGGGAAAAGAAAATTACTGAGGAATCACTGCTTAGGTGGCGTTGAATTTGGGGTCTAAATATTATGAGTGTTGCTACGGGGACCCAAAATTTAGGACCAACTCATTATGCAATAGGGAGGGGACACCTCACCTGTCCCCTCCCTTGGTCTCATATTTTGGGTCCTTCCGACAATGAAGAAGAAGAATTTTATATTCTATCTTCAACTGGAAAGGAGACTCGAGGTGGGATCTCCATCCCCAGAATCCGGAAAGTTGAAACTGAGAGTAGGATCTCCACTCCGAGAATCGAAAAGATTCGGATAACCCTAACTGTCGGAAGGTTTGATTACCGAACTAAAGATGAATTTCTCGCTTATCGAGAGTGAATTCGGCTTAAACCGTTCCGACAGAGTTTTGTCCAAACGGCTTAAATCGTGGACGGCTGCGGTGAGTCGGTTGTCGTCAAAGGGATGAACGGGGAAAAGAAAATTACTGAGGAATCACTGCTTAGGTGGCGTTGAATTTGGGGTCTAAATATTATGAGTGTTGCTACGGGGACCCAAAATTTAGGACCAACTCATTATGCAATAGGGAGGGGACACCTCACCTGTCCCCTCCCTTGGTCTCATATTTTGGGTCCTTAAATCATTTTCCAAATATTATTCCTTCACTTTAAAAAAGTCAAAGGGTAAATTAAGCACATTCCATTTTTCAAAATGGGGTCTCAAAGCATTGTTCCCTGTACAAATATCAAACAGGATATATATGCCTATTTAGTCCAAGATGCCACATATGTGGCTACCTGTTGCAGATTGCTCTATTATCATAATTAGATTGGAAAAGTCAAAAGTTTGATAGGCGCGATAATCACGGAGGCATTAATTATATAATTAGTGTCCGGTGTCTTTTATGAAGTGGTGTTCTTTCTTTCTTTCTTCTTGTTAGGTTATTTTGGAATATTGGATTTAGGTGCAAGTTAGACGAGTAGCAGTCTGGTTGTACTTACATTTAGATATTGATATTAATAAGGTTTCATATGCTTCATGTGCATCAAAAATTTGGACTCTTTTGCACCGTGATTTCTCATAGCTGACAGCCTTTTTAAATTGTATACATGATCAATTATACCTAGCTAGGTGAATGTATAACTATCTTATGTCTTTTGAATTGCATTTTTCTTTTGTAGTTACTCAAAGCATATCGCATGATCATGCACACCATCTCGAATAAGGTTATAATCGACAATATACACCTTCACCGCCGTCCGATTGCAGGCAGATCACTTGTAGTTCTAGTATTGTTGTGGATAGACCACCCCGAATGGGTTTTTTTATTATTATCTATTTCATCTTTGGTAGAAGGGGAAAAAAATTATTTTTGGACAAATCGGGCTCCATGAGAATAGAGGAGTTAAACGATGTCCAAACTAGGAATGTTTCGTGAAATTTACCCTTGCCATCTACCTTCAAAGTTACAATTATCTATCGCAACCAATACCAATACATATTTCAGTATGAATAAATACAAGCTCAGCAAGACTTTCTGCTATCTAACCCGCAACTATAAATGCAGAAAGTGCCAAATTCCTTAACAAAAGAGGGGAAAAGAAAAAAAAAATGAAAACAAAAATCATCTTTAGGAGGAAAAGTAGCAATAAATCATAGGATTCTTAAGAAACTTCTCGATCTACTCTATCATAGCTTCCTTAAAATTACGTTAGCTAGTCTCCATCAAAGAAGACTCAAAAGTGTTGGATATTTTGAGAGAAACACTCACCACCACAAGGAGGGAAGCAGAGCAATAAGATCTTGTTTTGTTTCAGTAAAGTAAGAAAACTTTTTTTTCAACAATTAACATTAAGGTCTTGGGTCCATTTCATCTTTTGACTCCTCAGACCTT